GAATTTACAATATATGATTTGGAGAAAAAACTGAAACATTTTGAGGAAAATAAAGGTGTACTGTCTGAGATTAAAGGGGTACATTTACAAGAAAAATACTCAAATATTCCCTGAGACGTAAAGATCACTGACAGTGAATTGGGGTTATTGTAAGTAAACTAGAGAACGCAATTCCTGAAGAAATTGCTAGTGGGAATGCTTTATGCTGAAAAGCTGACGCTGAATTGCTATTCTGAAATGTAATGTGTAAGAAGAAAGTGAAGCATTTAGATTGAAATGATACATGAACACTGGGGGCTTGAAGGTGTGATAAGAGAAGAAAAGAAAGTAAAAAAGCTTGGAAAAGTAGCAGAATATTTGAACTGCAAACTATTGAACTAACTTTTTTCATTTAATCGTTTATTTGAACCGGGACAGTGCACATTAATGAACATTTTAAACAAAATTAATGCTTTTAAATGTAAATGAGCCGGATTTTAGCTTTGAGCTAGTTTCCATCCGTAGTCCCGTCACATACAACATTTATGAACAAATAAATGAACTTGATGACGAATGATCTGTCGCCATGGCAACGGTATTTGATGACACCCCATAATAGTGGGTTTTGGGCCGTTTGCAGCATTTTCACTGAAGTTATGAGAAAAAACTGTTTCATAGCGAGCATTGTGTTGCCATGGCAACGGCATTTGAAGACATTTAAAAACTGTCACGTAGATGTCTTCACGGCTGGACTGTTAGCACACGTGAAGTTTGAGCACTTTTTGACAATTTGACAGATTTGGCGTAGAGCTGTTGAGGCGTGGACCGGTGATATACAAGCGAAGTTTGAACGTTTTGTTGAAGAACCGTAACAGATATCGGTGAAATTTCAAAGCGTGAAGCATGTCAAGGAACTTGAGCATCTGAAGTGTGCTTTTTGTGTACTTTCGGTTTAATAATGTGGCCTTTTTGGCAGATTAACTAAAGGTGTGCAGCAGCTGTGGTGGGGAAAGATGAGGCTGAATTTACAATGGGGTTTAATGGAGACATGTTGAAAGTGTTTGTCACTTCATGCCCTCAAGAGGCATTTTGCTTAATTATCTTTAATTTTTCAAGCTACGAGATGTTTTCCTACGTTTCTCATGAAAAATTATGTCTCAGGAATGTAGGGTTTGGGAATTATGGCAGGTTTAAAAGAAAATATGAAGGCAAAATTAAATCTGTCCTCCACTCTAGCTGTGACATCACGCACTCCAAAATCTGAAGAAAGCCTCTTTACCAAGGTCTGAACAATGTTTAATATCTCTAAAAGTACGAATCAGATTTAAAAGTTGTGTTACACGAATAATGTCAGAATGATGTGTAACATTTTAAAGTTGGAATGAGGTTTCTGAGTGAAAGTATGAAGGAGCAGTTAGCAGTTGAAGTCGCATGAAGATTGTTCAAGTCTGAAGAGTTTCTCCATTGACTTCCATGTTAAAAATGTGATGAATTATGGGATGTATCTCTGGAATTATGAAAGTTATGAATAAGAAAAGTAATAGCCATCGATTACCCGGCGGAATAATAAAGAATTTTGTGCGTAGCATAACAGATAGTGGGAATGCTGTATCAGCATTCCCACTAAACAAGTAATCATTATCAACCCTGGTAGGCAGGGTAATATACTAAGGAAAACACTCCAAATGAACGAGAAAAACATGCTTAATCTCCGAGGTTAAAGTGTATGAGAAAAATACTCTACAATAAAAAAGGAAATGAAAATCAATAAAAAAGCGATCATTGTTATCGTCATTTGTGAAAAACATATATAAATTATTCATACAAATACAGAGAAATACAAACAAAAATAATATTTTGAGGTGAGGGAGAAAAACCACATTTAAAAAATCCAACTTTTAGAGATGACGCACAAACAGCTGGAATAAAGAAGAAACCCAAAATGTTGAATTACATTTTTATTTAAATTCTGTCCTGAATCAGAACACGTGCAACAACTGAAACACAGAAACAACATGGCGTATTTACACGTGTGTGTGTGAGTGTGTGTTTTGTGTTAGCGTGCACAGGACAACCACACAAACGGACGCTTGGTAAAACGATAAAAAATCTCAGAAACGCAACAACATTTCGCACCCTGTCGTCACGTAGCTTAGCGGTTAGCATCGCTACTGACACCTCAACTTTCTCCGTCTCTCTGGGAGGAACGGAGGTTTTTGTTTCTCACGGATATCGCTGTTTTTGTAAAGCTAAATTAAAGAAGATTAATTCAAATTCGACAAAATAATATTGGCTTAATGTCAGGTTTTTTTGGCTACTTTTTGTCAGAAATGTGAGATTAAACTGTAAAATTCCAGCTGGATTACAAGGGAGAGCATACATTACAATACATGGCAAAATATATGGCAGTCGGACTACAGATACATGGAAGTATTATTTAAAAAAAAAACATTTTCCAGATCAGTCACAACGTTTTTAACACCATCGCACAAAATGTGAGTGAAAATAGGAAGGAAAAAGCGGAAGAAATTAGAAAATCAAAGACTTTTTTCCAGATCCCTCAAGAGAAAGAGTTAAAGTGCATCAACCAATCAGAAAACAGCATCCAGAGAGAACAGCCAATGAGCTGCGAGGAGAGGCGGGACCAAGAGAAAACAACCAATCAGACGTCATTACTGGCAGTGACACGAGGGTCCAACGTTAGATTCATGGGAAATGAGTTTTTGTAGTGATTTACTAAACCTTTAATTACTATTATTAAAGCCCACTGGATAAAAAATACCTCATTTTGTAATTCAAGAGTTCAAAAAGTAATATTTGTATCACTTAATTCTAACATTTTAGAGATAGAAATTATATATTTAGTAACATAAACTATACATCTTCCTCGTAAACACAAATTAAAACTGATTTTGTACATGTGTTAGTTACTGTATGTTTGACAGTAGAAACATCTTTAAATTATCAAAAGAAAGGTCTATCATTGTTTTGTAATACAATTAATATTATATAAGGTCTATTAGGGCTGTGTATGGACTTAAACGTCCACATTATCCGATACTAAATGTGAGTTTTCTGATGTTTTACTTGGAAAATATGGCAAAAAACGTTGATTCAAAGCAACCACGGACGTTTCTGTGTGTTATAAATCCGTATTTTTAGGTTCGATTCCCACCTAAAAGGAGGACCAACATGCCACCGCAGCCTCAGTCTGGTTTAGAAATCCACTTTCATTGTGATGGCAGCAGAATTGCAAATGTGAAAAAATAAATTTAAACATTATACACGGAAAGAAAAATGGCCAAAACAAGGCGTACAATCCCATCACGTTTATATAAGACACCTGTGTGTACAAGAAGTGTTTCATACTGAGAGGAAGAGGAAGAGGGAAGCAAAGGAGGAAGACATTTAAAAGGTTTTCTGGTTTGACTGGACACACCAACACCAGTTCTTATAAACCTCGTTATGTTTGGTGTTTTTTCAGATTTAGAGGATTCTCATTGTTCAAAATCACAGAGGATCTGAAAAACAATGCTATGTACACGCAGAGCTTTAAAAAAAGGTCTTGAACACACTTCAATGTTGAGAATTACGTCCTTAAAATAAAAAACATTCTCCAGCCTTCATTCTCTCAGATTTCATCAGGCTTCAAAACAACAAAAAAACTCAAATGACTATATTTTAGATTCGTATTGCAAACGTCATCTGTATGTACAATTACACAAATAATCAACACTTAAAATAACACTCAATCCCATTGAGTGTTTTCAGGCGTGGGGGGGGGGGGGGGGGGGGGGGGGGGGGGGGGGGGGGGGGGGGGGGTGGGGGGGGGGGGGGGGGGGGGGGGGGGGGGGGGGGGGGGGGGGGGGG